AGGTGTGACTATAGCTACTAACGAGCGTGTTCAAGAATCCTGTATATTACACAGATTATATACTCAAATACTGAGAGTAAATATGAAGTACTGTTTTGACTCTTTTAATTTATTATGGTAGTTATTAAAACTTATTCTGAGCTTTGGTCCAAGGTTGCTTTAAATATCAGGTGAAGACTCCGAAGTTGAGCCGCTTGGATGTGAATCCAGAATCCAGACTTCCTGCATACCAGTTGTGTAGACTTTGGCAAGTTACTTAAGCTCTCTAAGCCCCAGTTTTCCTCGCCCCAAAAGGGGGTGATAACAGTGCTTGCTTCATAGGATTGTAGAGAAGGTGAAAGGCTAGTTCACATTAAATTCTTAGCATTGTGCCTAGTACACAATGTGTTGTCAGAAATCATAACTATTTTACCATGGCGAATCCTGACATGAAAATCACAAGCTCGATTCTTACATCATTCCACCCTTGATGGAGCTGATGTTAGCTTTCCAATCCCTCACAATTCAAAACTCGTGAATGATTTTTGTGCATTTTTTATAAGAGCTTTCCGACAGACACCACAAGTAGACACTGATTTTAGAGATGAAATGTATGGCAATGGGATTTTATTCTTCATGTAAAACAACATTTCAGAGGCAACAAATGACTATTTTTTATTTTGTTAGTTGTGTGTGTCCGTGTGTGTATGTGTGAATGCAGATAGAAAAGGTCTATAATGGAAATTTTTTTCCCCCAAAGGTCATATCACGACATTATCTTTGAAAGGGCAGAAAACATATGTCCAATACTTCTTATTTTAAGAAGGTGCTAATATTTGAATTTATTCAGAAGTTAAGAGCGGACCAAGTTCCTGCCCTCAGAGGTGGTGATCTGCAACAGAGATTCAGACATTCTCCACACAGAGTTGCTGCTGCTGTGTGAGTGGTTACAGAAGATCACCATGAAGTCAGAGAGGATCAAAAGAACAGAGACAGATTCTCACACATGAGATTCTCACACAGTTACTAACTCGTGGAGATTAGGCAGGACCCACGGTAGGTGGGGACCAGTGATTGCTCTCACTTAGTGCAAAACAACAAGGTGTCCTGAAGTAGGGATTTATGGTAGTATAGGATATGACACCATAAGATAAGAATAAGAAATTAGGCCAGTCTTTTCTGAAAGTATTTTCTGCTGAACACTCTGTGAGATGCCCCTGTAAAGGGAGTTCCCCAGCCTAATAAAATGGAGAAAAACCACATGCTGTTGGCTCTTCTTCGGGATTCCTAATACACATCCCCATTATTTAGGTGTCTGAGAAGTCCTGCCATGAAGATAGTAGTTTAAACCCAGTTAAATTTGGCTAAGGAGACTCCCTGTCTCCCAATAATACCTATTACACTCACAACTTTATTGAAAGGTACTTTGAGAAACAGTAGACTAATATAATTTTAAAGTGTTTTAAAAACCCTCTTTTACATTGCAATACCTGAACTAACAACTATATTGATTTGATTTAGGACTAAGTCTGAATCTATTTTTGAAGAATAATTCTATACACACGTCTCCCACACCACAAGAAAAGTAGCCACCAAGTAAAATGGTCTCAAAGACAGAGACACAGACAGAAACAGAGAGGGAAAAACAGATAGGTCGGTCATGGCCGAGGAAAGGGAGAAGATTATACACACTTTTGGGAGAACTGTGGTGTTTACGAGAAAGATGAGATTTAAATGAACGGGGATTAAAACCCCTCAGAGAGCATTGCTTTTATGAGAAACAAATATTGTGTGTAATTGTGAAATAAAGGATGGTGATGTATCGATTTTAGTCTTGCACTTTTCTTTTCCTAAGTACATTTGAAAGTAATATAGATAATGACTCTCCCAAGTTCAGGCTCTGTGCAGCGAGCGGTATGTGCCTTCATCAAATCTTCATTAGCTAATTAGACCCTTTCCACGAAGTAAATTGCTCTAAGAGATGAGAGCAGACTTTGTGAATATGTCCTCAAGAGAAAAAAGGTCCAACTGGCTAATAATCAAGCATATGGAGGGGAGGGGATTCTGTTCCCAGTTTGGTTCTTCTTCTCTACCCCGGGAGAAGGAGAGGTGGATTTTAACACGATTGCTTGGGTTCAGCTGTGGGACGCATGTAGTCGTTGAAAGGGGGAGGATCAGATCCTCTTCCAGTATCTCTGGAATAGCCAGTAGGCAAATGAAAGAGGCCCAGGAGCCCACGCCAGTGCCCCAGAACAAAGGTCTCCACTGAATTCAAGATGGTGTCCTTATCCCTGGCTCTCCTGTTTTGCTCTGTCATCACATCATGTTCCCCTGCAGACTGGAAAGGCAGTCAATGCATACAAAACAGCCCTGTACGAATTTTTCTTTTTTCCAACATTTTGAGTAAGGGAGACAGCAGGCATATAAGTATTTCCACAATCTTGGTGGGGAGCCGGTCTCTATCAGCAGGTTCGACTCTATTCGCAGCGACTCCAGGGGCAAGGGGAGTTTTTGTTCAGACAATCAGAATTCCGGCAAACGGTAAATGTGTCTTCATGCTGAGAAGTGGGAAATTCAATAATACTTTGGCTGCGTTCATGCTGAGTAGCGAAAACAGAATGAATATGGAGAGGGATTGTGACTTGAGCAGTAAATCAGCTAGTCCAGACGTTTGCAACAAGCAGCTTTTAATCTGAAGCCTCTCTTGTTTCTACCCCATTCTCCAGGGTAACAGGGCTGTTTTTACATTTGTTCCTAGAGTGTTTTGTGCTGTTTACCATAAAACACAGAATTAAGTGCTCTGAGGTCTTAAAAAAAAAAAAAACACCCTCTCTGTTCTTCCCCATGTATATTATTACGTCGCTACAGGACCATTTGCTGCAAGTCTTTACTACGTGTTAGCCCAACTCAGAAGGCACAGTTCGTGTGGGTGTTACGGTGGTTCTAGCGTCCCTTATTAGACCTGAACACTTTTTTCTTCTGTAAGCGAAGTGACAAGTTTCAGTGGGGGTCACTAGAGTGGAAATCCCACGAGGGCAGGGATTTCGGTCTGTTTTATTCACTGTTCTATCAGCAACACCTAAGTGCTCTAAGAAGTCAATGAATGACTATTAGTCTACAGAAGGGAAAAGTCTAGTGAGCTCTGAGCTCTCTGAGATGTCTTGTACTAAAGCCCAAAGTGACTTCAGTTTTGCTGGCTTTTTGTTACGTATGATTTTGCAGAATATCTCTGATGTATGATTCTACGGAAGAAATTTTTAGCAGTATGTTTCTTTTTCAAAAGTCACATCAGCAAAACCTGATCCACACAGAAAAATTAGAAAATGGAAACAAACAACCAAAAAACCATGTTTGTACTCTTCAGAGATAATCACTGCTATGATTTAAATGTATGATCTTCTGGGTTTTCCTATGTGCATTTGGATACATTTTTACTGTAATGAGATTAGATTACAGTTACTGGGTTTTTTTTATTTAACAGGATTACAGGAACCTTTATTTTTATTAATAGACATCTGTATCGCTTTTCCGTAGTATCACAGTAGTATATTTTAAGAATGTACCAGAACTTAACCAACCCCTATGATTGTATATTTAAGTGTTTCTGATCTTTTGCTTGATCATACTGGAAGAGAGCTGTGAAACTGGTTTTCACAAGGGTAACCTTTTGTTTCATGGATCTGTCCCCCAGTCTCCGCCCTTCAAGCCGACCCATCTGTGTATTACCTTTCTTTGCCGGCCCTGTAAGTGCTGTTAGAATTGCCTCACTGAGAGCAAGTGTTTGAGGAAAGGACTCAGCACCAGCTCTGTCCTTCATACCTTTTACCTAATTATTCTATCTCATTGGTTTGCAATGACCATTTAACCTGGTTTTCCCTTTACTCACTCTTACCCTGTCTCACTGACGACGCTCTCCAGTGGGACCAAGAAGGGGAAGAGGTGGGGCCGGCGGCGGGGGACAGAGAGAGGAGGAATCAGTTAGTACTTTATGTCTTTATGTGGCTTGACTGCTCATTTTGTTTTATCACTGAATAATATCCCATTGTATGGATGTTCTACAACGTGTTCATGCAGTTAACTATTGAAGGAATTCCTGGCTTATGGTTTGGGGCAATTAGGAATTAACTTTTATAAACTTCATGTACAGGTTTTTATGTGGACGTCAGTTTTCAAATCAGTTGGGTAAATACCTAGTAGCACAACTGCTGGATCGTGTGGTAAAACCATGACCAGCTTCCTAAGAGACTGTCAAGCCATCTTCCAAAGTGGCTGTAATACTTTACATTCCCACCAGCGAGAATGGGAGTTCCTGTTGCTCCGCATCGTCACCAGCAACTGGTGTCGTCTGCTCTGTTTTGGATTTTATCCACCCTGATAGGTGTGTGGTGTATATCATTGGTATTTTAATTTGCAACTGTGGCTTTCTTGCCATATGCATCCCTTCTTCAGTGAGGAGTCGGTTCAGATCTTTTGCTCCTTTGTAAATTGGGTTGTTGATTTCCCTTTACTGAATTTTAAGAGTTTTACAAAAACTATTTTGGACACAAGGCCTTTATATATGTGTTTGGCAAATATTTTCCCAGTGATGTCCCTTTTTTTTTAATCACTTCAGGATCGTGCGCCACTTTGCAGCCCTAAAAGCTTACATCCAATGCTAAATGCTGATCTGTCGTCCGGCTCTGCTCGCCCGCATTTGCTTTGCTCTTCCCAAAAGTGATCCTGTCGCCCCCTCTCACTTCCTTAACCCCATCCACTCATTGTCAAAAAACATTTGCATTCTGGGGTCCTCGTTGTCTATCTCTAGGAATTTGTCGTTCTTTATTTTAAGTTAATGACCAAGGTGAGAATGTGTTTATTCATATATCTGCAGTAAGATTCCCAGTGAGGGTCCAACTTGTCTGTTTCCTGGTTTGAAAAGAAACAGACAGGTCTAGGGGAGAGCAAATTGTCCACAGTCGTTAGGTTGTGCCATGTCAGTGGTGAGGCTAATGGTTGTCTGTCTTCCTTTGCATGGCCACCAGTCATCAAGGCTCCTCTGCGTCATTTTAAACGCCCTGCTTATGCATCTAGCTCCTACGCACCTTCGGTCCCAAAGAAAACTGATGAGCATCCTGCGAGGTACAAGATGCTGGATCAGAGGATCAAAATGAAAAAAATTCAGACTATCTCACATAACTGGAACAGAAAATAGGTCAAGGGGAAGAGAGGGAGTGAAGGAGAGGCCCACTCCTCTGCCTGTCAGCACTCACCAGCCACAGTGGAATATGCTTCCAAGACCTTTGGAGGCTTTGGGGGCTGGTGCTTTTTGGTCGACTCCACCGAGGCAAAGTGAAGGCCGTATGTGATTTTCCCCTCTGTTGTTCTGTTATGGACCCATCCGTCACTGGATCTGGGAGTCAGTGCAGACTCCGGTAGTAAGAGGGTAGTCTCGTGTGGCTTTTATTTGTATAGATCTTTCAAAGTCTAAATCAGACCCAAATTAAAATGATGCACCCTCTTTAGAAAATTCCTCCCACTGACACTTCTTTTATCCCTAGAAGCTGACTTGCCCTAGTAAGAATATTGGTTTAATAATCATCGTATTTAAGAAATGCACCTCTTAAAACATCTTTTCCAATTTTAACTACAATAGGAAAAGATGTTTTTAGAAGTGCATTCCTTAAATACGGTGATTATTACAATATTTAAAATACAGGTAAATATGTAACTTTCAAAGTAAACCCATTAAAGTTAAAAGTTGTGTTTCTGAATGTAACAATTGCAGAGGGCAAAGAAGACTGATGTGCAGTTGAGTTCATGGAGAATGCTGAACTGAGGCTTCGCAAAGCAGATACAAGTCAGAAATAAAGACACTTGCTTTGGTTTTCATTGCATGCTTCATGCCTGGTGGCCTCATTTTGTACCTTTAGAGATGTGAGAGTTTGTAGGAGATACATTTTGGCTCTACTTCTTCTAATTTGTTACTTTCACTTACATTTGACAATGCTAGAAATCAATGGGATGCCCATGCCTCAGAGACTCCAGGTTTGAGATATACCCGAGGAAATGTCCCTTTGGTCTTGTGGTCCTAGGGCAGGAGGGTGTAAATTCCTGAACCTAATTTGAATCCCTTACTTGCAGATTTTTCTTCATTAAGTTGGAGATACCTCTAAGTTAAATTTCAGATCAATTTTCTAGCAGACCCTATAGCTGAGGCCCTTTGGAATCTCAGTGCTCTCACAGCTCTTGCTGGAATGGAAGTTGATAACTCACCTCTCTTCACTGCGGCATTTTTAGCTCTTCTGAATCTCTCCTGGACTTTTTACTTTGGGACTAAAATCACACAAAATGGTAAGGAAATGTTCAAGGCCATAAATAGCTTTTGATCCCTTCAGAAATGCTCTGGTGCAGTGGAAAACTTCAGGTTTGTTGTCTGGCAGTCCTGATCACCAATTCTGTCCCATCTATAACTAGTTGCACGTTCTCAGTCTAATGGCATAACCGTTAAAATCCTCAGTTTGCTTAATTAGAAAGTTGGATTCATAATACCCACAGCCTTTTGTGGTGAAGATTGAGGATAACATAGGTTTGGATTGTTATTGCTGAACTCGGTGAGTAATAGGGAGCACGACCGATGTAACTAGGAACCTTCCACATCCAGAAAGAACTCTCAGGAACCCCTGCAACCCCTGGGCTGATGATCACAGCGTTTGGGGTCTGATTGTAAAGGGTTTGGTGTGCTCTCCTTCCCTCTTTCGCCCCAGCTCACTTCCAGTAAACCACAGTTATGCAAGTTGAGCCAGCTCCAGAGTTTAGTCCACCATGCTATTGAGCAATTTACTTATAACGTGCCTGACGGTGGTATTTCAGGGAAATTTAATTACTATACAAAAAGGAAAATCACTGTGACTTTTTGTTAGGAAAGCAATTGTAATTCTTAACTCCCTGCTCAGTGCCGGAGTAAAAGGATCCTTCTGCAGGCTCACAGTGTCTGTTCCGCCTGAAGTAGGTTAACTCCACACGTAATTCCTCCCTGTTTGTATAGATGCCTCAATGCTTGCTTCACAGAACCATTTAGGAGTGAAACTGCCCATGGGTAGTGGGGCCTCCTGGCGGCCCAGTGGATCTTCGGTGATGTTCCTCAAATCTCCCCCAATACTTTCAGTCTTAGGCATTGAAGCATCAAGGTGGCTGTGCTTTCTCCACTGTGCTTCTTGACATTAGAAGCCATGACTCTAGTGAAGAAAGTTGGCTCTTTCTGCATTCTTTTATCCCAGGATGCTATTTTTCAGCTTTGGCTAATATGTTGATTGAACAAATGTACAGATATTGAGATTCTGCTTTGCTTGTAAAATGCCTACCATGTTTTTTGCATGATGGATTGTATAGAAATGCCAGATTATATTCTTATAGCAAATAAAAAGATGCTTTTAAAGGGCTTTCTTGTATGAGTCACCTTTCTCTTCTCCAGAATTCTGGGATTCATTTGAAAAGAGTTAGATTTTCCCTATGCTTGGTCCGATTCAGTCCTGAATATCTCATCAGGATGAACAGCATAACAAACTTCTCAATTGGCTTCCTGATTGTATAGGTGGTAGGTGTTTTTAAAACCACCTTATCCCTATAGCACAAACCCAATCAATTAATTTGTTAGTATGAGTAACCCATAATACCAGCTAGTCTGTAGGTAAACACCTATGTTATCAACTCTGTTTATATCATTCCAGGCTAAGCTATATAGTTGGTTTAGAACTGACACTTTGGGGCTAGAAAAACCTATCATTAAATCTTGGCTCCCTTTTGTTAGCTCTGTGAGCTCTAGCAAGTTTTGGAATCCCTCTGAACTTTAGTTTCCTTAGCCATAAAATGAGAGTAATAATACTTCCTGGCTCAGCATAGCACAGGGTTGAGAATATGGTAAGTGTATCCATAAATAGTTGCTATTATTTCTTGGAGAAAGAGTAGAGCGTAGTAAAAAGAAGTTAGGCTTTTGAGTTTGAGAGCAATGTCCCTTACTGGTTCTATGACCTCGGGTAGGTTGTTCGCGTTTTCTAACTTTAGTAAAGAGAAGTTAATAATTTAACTAATAATTTCATTAATAATATTTTCCTACCTGGCTGTTCTCCCAGGTACCAATTTCTGCCTCACGCTGCACTTCAATCTTTAATGTGTATTTCAGCATTCAGTTGGAAACCTGACATCCCCGCCCTCAGCTCTCCCTTCACCTGTGTTTCCCTGCACCCTTGGAGATCATGGGCTTCCATCTTTTATCTGTTATGGCTCATTCTTGCTCTCATGTTCCACGTCTCTCAACCCTTGACCACCCCCGGCGTCTTACTCCTACAGTTCTGTCCTTCATCTGTTCCCATTCATCCCATCTCCTTTCCCACACCGAATCCCTTTATTTTTCCAAAGTTCCACCAACACCAGCCTATGGCCTAGAATGGACTTTGCCTGAATGGTGGCACAGCAGAACAACTACATAAATTAAAAATCTAACAACAATATCAGCTAGTCTCCCTTTGTGGAGGATTTCTCATGGCAGTGTCTTCCTTAAGACACAGATTTCCCTGTATCTTCTTGGATCTCTCCTTCTACCAAGACCTTTCTCCCCTCTTGAACTTTAAATTCCTGTGAATGTACAGAGCAATCCATCCCGTACTCCCTACACCACGCAAGCTCAAGGCATTTTTTAAAGCTGATGAACTCACTCTGCCACAGAAAGGGCATTTACTCTGGGTCCTGCTCCTAGAAGCACAAAGAACTGACAGAAGCTTCAAAATGGTATTTTTTTCTTTGTAATATAATCCAAGCACAGCCACCTTATAATAGAATCCAATTCTTAGGCAGGACCAGTCCTTGTAAGAAAAGAGCAGTATAAATTGTTCTCTCCCTCTTCCCACCACACCTCTGCCCAGAATAAGTCTGCAGGTGTTCTGGGGGTTTTGTTTTTGTTTGTTTGTTTGTTTGTTTGTTTTTGTTTTTCCATCTAGTAGTAATACTAACCTCACATGGGTAGGGCAGTGACTGTCACTAATAGGTGCTTGGAGAATGCTAATTTCTTACTCTTCCTACCTCTTTCTACCACAAGCCAGTTAAGCCTTACCATGAGCTCATCCACTGAGCTTTTGAAATAGGGAAGGCACTCCAGCACTCTCACTGTTATGATTTCTAATCCCCGTGAAGTAGAGGGGAAAAGTGGAGATGGTTGATAACCACTATTTTTGAAGTATAGGATTTCCATAAAGATCCATGTTCTTGGGACACCTGGGTAGCTCAGTTGGTTAAACATTTGCCTTCGGCTCAGGTCATGATCCCAGGGTCTTGGGATCGAGTCCTACATTGGCCTCCCTGCTCAGCTGGGAGCCTGCTTCTCCCTCTCCCTCTGCCTGCCGCTCCCCCTGCTTGGGCTCTCTCTCTCTCTTTGACAAATAAATAAATAAAATCTTAAAAAAAAAAAATCCATGTTCCTAAGACATATGGAAGGCCACTTATTTACCTGCAAAGTTTGAATTTATTTTCTCATTGACTGCCAACTTCACTTGATCAATTACACTCTTTGATCCATTTCCAGTTTAAAAAAAACAAAACCTATTGGGCTGACATCTTGGTTTATTGGGAGTCTGTCAAGTTAAATGTGAGGATGTGTTAGGACTGGGAGTTTGGTGTGGGTGAAGGATTAATGATTTGGCTCCACGTTTGACCCCTGGCATAGCGCCAGGTGCCCATGGCAAAGCCAGTTGGGGCCGGAGAAGGTTCTACAGTATCATCGGTGTCGATAGTAGGCCTTTCCTGGTGGTGTTGTTTAGAGACTAATTTAGGAGATTTACGAGCATTCATTATACTTTTGTTATATTTAAAGAACATGAAAAACTGCTTTTGGGGAATAGCAAGTAATAATAACTAGGGAATGCTGTATTCAACTGTGTATATTAATGTCCAACTTGGATTCTCTGTGAATGTTCTACGATGTGCTTTGTTTTTTACACTTGAGGAAGAGTTCAGCTGACCTGTACTTTATAGAAGCACCTTGCCTAGAAACCAGCCATTATGGAAACAATTCATTTATGATTATTGCCCTTTTAGCATCTCTTATGACCCACTGGGTATAAAAAGATTCCAAACTTTAAGACACAATGGTAAAAGGATATTAAGTAAATGTAACAACAGAGACAAATATCCAATTACAGCTGCTAAAAACTGAAATTATGTAACACTGCTCGAGCCCAATAGATTAAATTTTAGTTGATATTTTTTGAGAACCCATTAGGTCCCAACCACTTTAATATGTACTAATATATTTAAATCTTTTTTTAAAAGGTTTTATTTATTTATTTATTTATTTGAGACAGAGAGAGAAAAAAAGAGAGCATCCATGCATGCACACGTGAGCCAGGGGCGGGGGTGGGGAGGACAGAGGGAGAGGGAGAGAGAGAATTCCAAGCAGGTTCCATGCTGAGCTCAGAGATTGACAATGCAGGGCTCGATCTCACGACCCTGAGATCATGACTTGAGCCAAAACCAAGAGTCGGACGTTCAAGCTCAACCAGGTGCCCCATAATATATTTAATTCTTAATAAACCTGTGTGGGAAGCCTTATTGTCTTATTGTTAATCAATAAATTAAGACTCAGAAGAGTCAAATTTTTGCAGAACATTTGCAGAGCTAGTGGAAAAGGGTAGAGAGAGGATTCAGTTGAGGTCCTTTGATTACAGGAGTATATATTGTTTCCACACACTGTGTTGCTTGCAGACTTGAAGTACCTCTTTGTTGAGGCTGCTCACCATCATTATGCATCTTCTATCATTCGGCATGCTCTCATACGGTTCCAACACAGCAGGCAGGACCAGCAACCATAGCATGATCATTCCCAACACCAGATTGGTGGTGTCCCTCTCCAACTTGGGCCAGTATTGTGCCCTTTGTTGAAACTTTGTCATGAAGCATTGCTAGAAGAAGCCCCACAATTGAGCTAACATGACCACTCACACACCTGTAGCTCAGTCTTTCATGGACCATTGCTCATCGAATCCATCTTCCTCACCTCCCATCAGTTAATCCAAGTGGATGACTCTTTCCTCAACTTCCTGCTTCCTTTTGCCCGTCCTCTCAACTAGAGCATTAAGAAAACACAGTCTATGGGAAAAAACATTCCTTAGTTATTTAGCTTCCCTCCCCTGTGGGTATCTGACTCTATACCATCCTCTTATTTGTCCCTGATTTCTTAGAGGAAGACATATTTCTTTTCCTCTTTAAAACCAACTTCCGTTACTGAACCATATCCTTTTTCTACTGCCAAACTAGGCTTACATTTGATTTTCTTGTAGAAAATCAACAGTGAAATTCAACAGTCAAGTGGATAAATACCCAAAGTGCCTAAGCACAATGACATTTCCACAGGCTTGTTCCCTTTGAATTTTTTGACGCCTTTCACATTGTTGCCCACACCATTTCATCTAGAAGCTCTCCTCCATTTGCCTGTGAGCACTGCACTCTCCTGATTTGTCTTTATATCTTTACTTTACTGCTGGACTAGTGGCTAAACGCTTCTCCTTCTCATAGTCTTTTCCCGAGATCATGCCATCAGACTTCTCAGATTTCTTCCCATAAATTGTATCTTTTCTCAGGATTTTAAGCACCAACTCCATCTGTGTGATTTCTAACTCTACAGATCTGTCCCTATCGCTTTCTCAAGCCTACACAAGCATTCCCAACTTCCTGTTGGTCTTCTTCATTTGAATGTCTTGAAGATATTGTAAGCCTCACTCTCAAATTCTTCTCCAGTTCCCATACTATGCTCTTCCTGATGTCTATATTTCTGTTATTGCTACCCCCATTTTTTTCATCACCCATTCTCAAAGTCATTTATCTTTTTTATTTCTCCAAATCAGTTTTCACATTTTGTCACTGATACTTCTCTGGAATTCTGCTACCAGCTCCAGATTTCTTCCTTAGGAATTGCGGTTTTTCATAGCAAGGATTGATATTCCCTCCCACATCAGACACCTCCTAGCTCCAGAAAAATCAACTTCCAATGACCAACAGTAGAGGCTTTATCAAGAAAAACATGAAGAACAAGTCTGCCAATATGCATACTCCCCGGTTGGAGAAGTTTATTGTCTGCTGTCTCATCCAGGGGGCTCTTCACAGACTGAGATTCAGCTCCTGTCCATGAGGGCTGACAAGTTTACAGAGAGGGCTGCATATCCTGATATCCTGTACAAGATCTCCCTTGCCCCTTTGCTCCCCAACCACACTCAGAGGTCAGATGAATGTCAAGATATTTGAATTCAAGCGTTCTAGGACCTAAAAGCATGCATATATCACTGGGTGATTCTGTTTAATGAATGAATATATGGAAAATACATTAATTGTGTCTTTTCCAGAAGACAAAGTTCCTCATGAAGTGACATCTATCACCTGCAGCACTATTTTGTAC